GAGCAAGTCCGGGCCCCTTCCCCCCTCCCCTCCCCCCCCCCCCTCACCGTCTCATCATGACTCCCAAGCGCCTGATCACCCTGCTGGCCCTGCTGGCCCTGTCCATGTTCATGGTCCTGCCGGGCGCCCTTTCGCAGTGCCCGTGCGCGGCTCGGCGCGCGGCCGCTGCGGCCGCCGCCGCCGCCGCCCCGGTCGACGAGCCGGTGGACGTGCTTGCCGCCACCGCGGCCGCCGCTCAGGCTGGCGAGCCGACCGACGTGCGTCCCGGTGGTCCTTCTCCCCCCCCCCCCCTCCCTCCTTTGCCCCTCCTCGCTACAATCTGCCCGGCAAAGCACTGACCCGCCGCCCCCTCCCGCTGGGCTCCCTGGCTCCGGCACCGCCGGCGCCTCGCGCAGGCCGCCGAGAAGATCGCCGCCCTGGAGAAGGAGCTGGCCGAGCTCAAGGCCGCCAAGGGCGCCTGCCCCTTCGCCAACGGCGAGTGCCCGTTTGCCAAGGGCGAGTGCCCCTTCGCTAAGGGCGGCGCCGCGGCCCCCTCGGCCGGGTGCCCCTTCGCCAAGGGCGGCGAGTGCCCGTTCGCCAAGCGCGGCGGGGCCGCCGCCCCGGCCGGGTGCCCCTACGCCGCGGCCGCCAAGGCCAAGCACGGCATGATGGATGCCGGGTGCCCCTTCGCCGAGCGCTACAACGCCGGCGGCGAGTACGGCCTCCCGGCCCCGGCGGCCAACGTCCGCCAGAAGGCCCCGGGCTTCAATGTGTCGGCCGTCGTCAATGGCGAGATCTCCGAGGTGTCCCTCGCCTCGTACCGGGGTACGCTTTTCGCGGGCCGTGCTCCTTCTTGCTGGGTGCCGGGCTTTTTTTCCCCTCGCTTCGCCGCTGACCGATGCCCTGCCTGCGGCGTCTGCCCCCTGCCCCGTCTCCCCCCCCCCCCCCCCCTACTGCTGCAGGCAAGTATGTCGTCCTGCTCTTCTACCCCCTGGACTTGTGCGTGCCATCCCCCTCCCGCCCCTCTCCCCGCCTGTGCCGACCCCATCCGGCTGACTCCCCGGCCCGCAGCACCTTCGTCTGCCCCACCGAGATCCTGGCCTTCAACGACCGCCTGGCCGAGTTCCACGCCATCAACGCCGAGGTCCTGGCCATCTCCTGCGACTCGGTCTACACCCACCTTGCCTGGACCCAGACCCCGCGCAACAAGGGCGGCCTCGGCGCCGTGCAGATGCCCCTCCTGTCGGACCTCAACCGCGCGGTGTCCCTCAAGTATGACGTCCTCCTCCGCCGCGAGGGCCACCCGCTCCGGTACGCATGTGTCCC